TACGCAAAACTTAAGACTGCCCGTCGTACCAAAATTACGACCCCGCTGTGGACCATTCCAAATCAGCCACATGATTACCCCAGTAACAGCTCACCTACTGTTGCCGACAGACTGGTACATCAGCCCTTTGTTCCACGTCAGCTTGCTTCGCCCATAAATCCCAACCACAAGCCAACTGCCTCGCCACCGCCCGCCATCCATGACTCGCCCTGCATCGGAGCCGATCATCGAGCCCGAAAAAATCCTGAGCCATCGGATTCGACACCCCACGGGAATCAGGAGGATTGAATTCCTCGTTCGCTGGAAGGATCGCACGCTAACTGAGGATAGCTGGGTGCCCCTGGCCAACATAAAAAACCACCCTGCCCTGCAAGTGTACCTGAGGAGCCGGGGCTTCCGCGATATACACGCACTCGCGTAGCGGAGGGGGCTTCTTGAGGGGGGGGGGGGGGGGGGGGTAGTGTAAGGAATTTTCTCGATATTCCTTAGCGCACCCCGCAACATCGCGTACAGCAGCAGCCGTTGTTCGCCCGTTACTGCTAACGGGGCTTCGCCGACTTCGCGCGCACTGTTTCACCAAACCCCGCACTGCTGGCCTGGCCGTGTCGGCCTACGCTTCGGACTAGCCCGAGCCTTGCTTCCAGCGTAGCACTAGCTAGCTCGCACGCACCGCGTTACCGTTTGCATGTTTCGCGTATAAATGTTCGCTCATGCCTTCGCTCACATTTTGTACTCGTTTGACACCTTAGTGCAATTCTTGCTACTTCGATTCATTGCACCCGTAACACAAGGGCGGTGCTCGCCAGCAACTCAGAAAACGACGGCATTTTGGTGGCATCGGCATGGTGACCGAATCCGGAACCGGAGTCGAAACCCGCTCAAGAGGTCTGGGCGTAATGCGGTCCGCGAAACTTCAATCCCCAAAACAGGAAATTTCACAACCGCATATGGAACCCCCAGCCCCACCTTCCTCGTCGAGTGGCGCGAATTTTACGCGCCACTAACCAGTGCCAGACCGAGGGCCAAAAACGAACCAGGGTAACAAGCGCAAAAAAAAAAAAACAAACCAATCTCAAATACAACCTCTGAGACCCCTCGTACTCAATCCACTCACAAGGTGTGTTCGGGAGGGGAAAAATGGAGGGTATTCGAACCCCCCTTTGTCAAACAAATGGCTTGTTCGGAGGTTCCCCTCTGAACGGCAATGCGACGGTTGTGCCATCGCTGTGCTTCGAAAAACGCGGCATGGCGATGGCATGGCTTGGGGATAGAACTTTTCCAGAGGACGAAGTTGCTTCCCCGCTTCCATATGCCATCGAGCAGTTCGTTTTGGTGGACAAATGGAGGCGTTCGCCAGACAACCACTTTGATTGTACGTTCGGACGGTTGGGGAGGCTCGGCACCTTTTTTTCGGGCTGACCAGGCTGACGGAGGTAAACGAACCCTAACTCACGGGATCAGAAAGGCGAGACCCACCTTCCTGATCCCGTCATATCCCTTCGTTTTTTGCTTCATTGGTGCTGGCGAACAGCACCAAGGTGTATTTCTGGTGTGGAGCATCTTTGTTCAAATGGTGACCATTGATACGGGAGTCCACAAGAGCTTTCTCATGACCTTCCTTCGCGCAACCAGTTTCGTTGACTGGGCTCGCATCGTCCCGTTGACTGGGCTTCTGTAACGGAAACATTACACGCCACGATTTCGTCCAGTCCCGTCCCGCCCCCAAATTTTGTCAGGCGCGAGCGCTCCCGGCCACACAATGTCGCGCCGCGCACCTCCCGTCTACAGAGCCCACCACCCTCCCCAACCACTTTTAGTCTTACTGAATCCTCCAATCTCTTCCGAACTCCATGATTATATCACCCATCTCATTGCAGCTGTGACCACTTGAGGGAGCATTTTTTGGTGGAGCCCCTTTCAGCAGCAGTGAAGTGCAGTGAGATACTGCCTGACGCAACCACACATACATATCTGCTCTGCTCTGGAAGAAACAAACTTGGAAGTAACGTCAGGTGGCGTATAGTGCTGTGTTGCGTACAGTGCGTAAAGCCTTAGTTCTGTCCTGACTCTAAATGTATGATTTTTATGCGCTCCTCTGACTGAGCTCAATCTGAGTATAAGATGGACGAGATAACATGACCTGGACAGGGATGGGACCTATGGCGTCGCGTCGATGGGGCACAACAGATGGCAGCATAGAGTATCCTTCGCGTCGCGCGTGTAGTGGACCCGTGTTATCCTGACGTCGCTTGCTGCAGGGCACAGAGAAACTTAGAAACTCTCGATTATATTATTGTGTACACCGCAGACCCGACTTCGCCAAACTCCTCCTCTAATAATGGCGAGCTGTTATTCTACGTCATACTACCTAGTCAGGATATATCAACTAATCATGTCTCACGAGTACGACTCGGCGTAAAGTCACTGTAGCGGGTCGATGGGCAACGGAAATGAACGTACATGGGGGAACGAAATAAACGCCACGGCAAGGGCTCCGCGACAGAATCCTGTTTCAGTTCCACTCCCATCTAATGCTCGCAATTGGTTCGCTAAATGCGACTTTTTTCTAGCCGTGACGTAAAGGCCCGGGGTTGCATTGCATTTTACATCCCCGTAAAACAGAAATGCTAGTAACGGTGGCGCGGCTCGGCTTCCGGAGCTCCACTGTACTCACCACAAGTCATGCTATAATATTACTAGCCACTGTACCAATAACCACATCAGATCGCCTCCATTCGTGCGTTGTCCCGTTCGATGCGAGCTCGTGGAACCCTCTCAATTCCCGGAGGCCATGCCGAATTTTGGAGCGCTCGAAATAACGGACAGAATTCTGTCAGTTCGTGCGTTGTCCGATGCGATATTCCGCTGCTCGCAGCTCGCATTACCACCAAAATGCGGACCTGTGGCCAAAGGTTTTCGTCAATGTTCCCTCCGGTAGGTAATGACATTGCCCCGGCGCATACTCTTATTAATAAAGGGGTGATCAAAGTACTGCACCAACTCGACGTCGAGGGATGTCGGTGAATATCAACCCTCGGATCAACGGTTCCAACCGTCAGGATTTACCGAGATCCCTCGACGTCGAGCTGGTGCAGTACTTCGATCACCCTGTAAAGCTGTGATTTCGGGGAGCAGCATTCGCGCGTACAACTTGTACTGAGGACCAACGACCTTAAACAGCTCTAACTGCACGGAAGGAGTAGCAGAGCACGCATGAGACAAATGCGGCCATCTTTTATTCGCCGTGGATCGCGGATAACCCTAAACCCTGAAGCATTTGAAGAGCGGAGCCTCGCTTTCGAACCGCCGGTGGAAACCGCTGTAGCCCACAGCGGGACATGAGGGCCGCTAGTCCGACTGCCGCAATCGTTCCTGCGAATCAGCCAGCCACCTAGCCAGGCCGCTGGATGGTTTCGTAAAAGTCAGGTCAACAGCGCATCCTTATTAGTTCGCCCGTCGCTCGTCATTCATACCACTGCATTCACTTCAGCTCGAGTCTGTTGTCTCGTGAATATAAAACGAGCACATCTCGTGGTGGTGGCTTTCCGAAAGCCAGGAAGGGTTTGTGACGCCAAGAAGCTGAAAAACCGAGAAAGCCGAGAAGCCGAGAAGTCGAGAAGCTGAGAAGCTGAGAAGCCAAGAAGCCGAGACTCTGAGGAGCGGAGAAGCTGTAACGCTTTGAAGCTGAGAAGTTGTGCCAGCGGTCAAACGGTCAACCCTCCCAAGGGCAGCACTGCCACAGCGGCTGCTGCATCAGCATGACGGCTGGAGCAAGGACCCGTACCTTTGGCCGGGCATGGACCCCTGAGGTGAGCTGCTCTCATTGCTTCTTAGCATTTTGACTCATTGCTTCAAGGCTCTTCTCGTACCTCTAAATCCGTTCACGAAGAGGAAAGTGTTGGCTTTCAATCTCCTTTTTGGGTTGCGTAGCAACCTTATACATTCGTTTTCACTTTTTGGTTGGCTGATGTGAACAGTGAATTTCTCTTATAAATTTTGAAAGAAATCACTGTTCACATAGCTTCCCCAAAAATGTGAAAACAAATGTTTCCAATCATTCCATAATCGTCGATAAGTACGGCGAATGGAACAATTGGAGAATTGTTCTAGCACTAAAGATGATATGGTACCGAATGACACACGAACACAAAGGACAACACAAAAATTACTACAGTACCACCAAGAAACACACATACACAAATGACCACAAAAACGATGGTGTACAAGAACCGTCGTACATGTTTTGAAGGGGATAGTAAATGCATCAATGCAACAACTGAGACTGATATGGTACGGAAGAGGCGAGCAAAGCTGCCCCACCGACGATCACAATCCCAGTTGCATACACGATACACTTAGCACCACACCCCCGAAACAAGCACAGACGATAACACATAAATGATTATGAAAACAGAAGACAACGTTTAAGAATGTTTCAAAGCGGATGCTAAATGCATCAGTGCTGCAACTGAGATTGATATGGTACGGAAGAGGCTAGCAAAGCTGCCCCACTGACGATCACAATCCGAGTTGCATTCACGAGGCACTTAGCACCACACCCTGAAGCACGCACAACACACGTATGCATATGTACGCACTCACACACATACACGCTCACACATATACAGACACACACAATGCAAAAACATACAGCTATTGTAATAAGCATGCAAGCATAATGAATAAATTTCAGCCTTGTATAAATTAATTATCTCTATCTTGTCCCCCGTTCCCCTCCCTCCCTCCCTCATTTCCCTCATCTCCCTTCTCCCCATCTCTTTTCTCCGCAAGAAACAAAGGCTGCAGCTTGGACTCCTTGCACAGGAAAGGAAAATCAGCGAATGCAACTCACTCCCTGCACAAACAAGAACAAAACCAGAGAATACAACTTGCATTAGTTGCACAAGAAAACAAAATCAGAGAATGCAGCTGAAAAACAAAGTAAGCGCAACAGAAATTCACACGCAAACTCCCACGTTCTCTCACGCGCTCCCACGCTCTCAGGGGGGAGCGGCAACGGCGGGGAGGAGGGAGAGGCAACCGCGTGGAGGGAGAGGGGACGGCGGGGAGGAGGGAGAGGCGACGGCGGGGAGGAAGGAGCGGCGACGGCGGGGAGGAAGGAGCGGCGACGGCGGGGAGGAGGGAGAGGCGACGGCGGGGAGGAGGGAGAGGCGACGGCGGGGAGGAGGGAGAGGCGACGGCGGGGAGGAGGGAGAGGCGACGGCGGGGAGGAGGGAGAGGCGACGGCGGGGAGGAGGGAGAGGCGACGGCGGGGAGGAGGGAGAGGCGACGGCGGGGAGGAGGGAGAGGCGACGGCGGGGAGGAGGGAGAGGCGACGGCGGGGAGGAGGGAGAGGCGACGGCGGGGAGGAGGGAGAGGCGACGGCGGGGAGGAGGGAGAGGCGACGGCGGGGAGGAGGGAGAGGCGACGCCGAGGAGGAGGGAGAGGCGACGGCGGGGAGGGGGGAGAGGCGACGGCGGGGAGGAGGGAGAGGCGACGGCGGGGAGGAGGGAGAGGCGACGGCGGGGAGGAAGGAGAGGCGACGGCGGGGAGGATGGAGCGGCGACGGCGGGGAGGAGGGAGAGGCGACGGCGGGGAGGAGGGAGAGGCAACGGCGGGGAGGAGGGAGAGGCGACGGCGGGGAGGAGGGAGAGGCGACGGCGGGGAGGAGGGAGAGGCGACATCGGGGAGGAGGGAGAGGCGACGGAGGGGAGGTAAGGAAGAGGAGATCGCGGTGTGGGGCTGAGTGACTGTGAGGTGAATAGGAGAGGTGAAGGTGGGTAGTGAGGGAGAGGATACGGCGGGATAGGAGCAAGAGCGACGGCTGGGTGGGAGAACTGGCGAGAAATTGGGGTGGGGGGAAGGAAGAGGAATAAGAGCAGAGCAGGTGTGCTTGTCGAGTCGAGAGGAACCAGAAAACAAGAACCAAGAAAAGAGCACAGAAATTGAGTTGGCAGTTGTGAAAGGGACGGATGCCAGCGCAGAGATGAAATTTCTGCCAGCGCAGAACAAGACAATTTCTGCCACCGCAGAACGATACAACTTCTGCCAGCGCAGAACGAAGCACCATATACAGTATACCGTTTTAAGTTAATAATTGGTCTAGTCATAATTGTAACACACATACGGATATGCGTTATGAGAAAAACCAATTACAGATGGGGAGATCATACATGGAGATCAGTCCGCTCATATCGAGTTTCCAGCACCTACGCAACCCATACGACGTTGAACGTCGAGTCTTGTTTTATTATTTTCTTTCCCTTCTCTTCTCAACCCTGTCAGGAGGATCGCAAGCTGCTGCTGCACGTGGCAGCGCACGGCACGAGGCAGTGGAGGGCCGTTCTCAACGCGGGGCTGCTGCCAGGCCGGGACAGCAAGGCCTGTTGCAACCGATTCATCGTTCTCAAGAGGTACCATTGGCTTCTTTATCGTGCACAGTATGGTTTTCTGTGTTTCTTCATTCTTTCTTGTTTTCCTGGTTAGAAATGAGATCAGTATTTTTTTTTCCGTCTGTATTTCATCTTCTTCTTTCTCATCTCTTCGTCTAGGGGGGTAATTGGCTGACTTGAATGACCACTTCGACTATTTCCCATCCCTCCCATGTTCTCTTCTGCAGGAAGTATTTCAACTTCCGGGAGAGACTACAGGGCCAATTCCATCCATTACTGGGATTTTCTGAGGACGTTTTCCCTTTGCAAAAGACTGGCGAAGATGGGTCTGACAACGGAAGTATAGAAGCTGCTTTGGCTGATCTGGCTAACAATATCGGCACCGCTGTGTGTGCTGCACCTGAGTCGGATAAAGGCATCATTTTCACTGAGTATGCTGCACCAGTGCCTGCTATCGAGGCTGCTGCTGCTAGTGAATCTGCTCTTACTGAGTATGGTTCCCCTGGGGTGAGCACTGGATCTAACGCCATTGCGACTCAAGCTGCTCCGGCGGACACAAATGCGAGTGCTGCTCACGGTGGTAATCCCACTTCTGCTGCTGCTGCTGCTGCTGCGGCAGCCTGGGTGGCAAAAGAAGCAGGCGTAATCAACCTTCTTCCAGTCCCACCACACGAGCCTGTGCATGAATTGACGGGTGGTCATTTAAGAGGGGCGCCGGGGGCTCGCGCCGCTCCAGCTGCTGTTTCTGCAGCTGCTCCTGCTCCCGCTCCGGCTGCTGTTTCTGCAGCTGCTCCTGCTCCCGCTCCTTCTGCTTCTGCAGCTGCTCCTACTCTCACTCCTTCTGCTTCTGCAGCTGCTCCTGCTCTCGCTCCTTCTGCTTCTGCTGCTGCAGCTGCTGCTGCTGCAGTTTTTCCAGGAAGGGAGGCGGCAAGGGAAACAAGAGCCTTGAATGTCCCTCCAACTCCCAAACTGCATGGGACTGAGCATTGGAGGTTCCGTACAGAGAGTGTCTATCAAGCTGTACCAGATTTGCAACACAGGCATTTTGAAGAAAGCAATGCAGGCAGTTTCTTGGAAGCTGCTCTGTTGAACCTGATAAGCAGAATGCCAGCAGCTCCAGCTTGCATTCAACCGAATTCCCTTCCTTTGTCTCCTTGGGTGTCTGCCGACCCGGCCATGCCTGTCGAACCGACCAAGGCGATATGTGAAGGAAGAAGCAGCAGCAGCTTTGACTCGGGAGCCAATGAGCTGGCACTTAAAGAATGCAGCGGACTACAAGGCCTGCGGAATCCATTATCTGGGGAGCAAGGAGCAGGTTCGGCGTTGGAGTTTCCAGCAACCTTCCCAGTACTGGATGATAGTGAAACGTGGGGGAGTGGCTAGCTTCCCTCGACTACCGGGCGCAAAGAGGGCGCCATGCACATGCACCCAGCCAGCCCAGGCAAACGTGGGTGAATGGTGGGTGCAACAGGCTCCCTGCAGACCAACAGCAGGCTCCAAGTGGGTCTGGTTTAAATGGTGCAGGCGTTGAGGATTTGCTGGAGAGTCCTTGCTCCCAGGGAGGGCAAAGTCAGCCTAGGCAAACGTGGGTGAATGGCGGGTGCAACAGGCTCCCTGCAGACCAACAGCAGGCTCCAAGTGGGTCTGGTTTACATGGTGCAGGCGTTGAGGGTTTGCTGGAGAGGCTTTGCTCTCAGGTTGGGCTTGGATCCGGCAGTCCTTGTAGAATGCGACCAGACTCAATATTTGAGGCCATGGCTAGTGGGAGCTGGTCCCTTCAGTAAAATATCCCTTTGTAATGGTTGTGTTTTGTTAGGTTTTGTATCGTTGCGATTTTTTTTTTTTGTGTCTGTCTAGTTGTGTTGATGAATTGATTTGTATTAGGGGATTTTGAAAGAAATATTGTTGCAACATCCAGCATTAATTCTCGGCACAAGCAGTCCACACACTAATCTCAAAACGAGGTTTACAACAGCGCGTTCTTATCAGGCTTGCAGGAATGATCACGATCTCCTCGGGGTACGTCCCTGCAACGCGATTGAATACGTTAAACGACGTTGCAATACGTTTTAAGCTACTAAGACAAGGTTGCATTTCGGTGGCGACTCGATCAATATTGAACTTTTGGGTTGTTGATATTGGTATGTGTTTGTGATCTCTAGGTTCTCCGTTCTCCCTTCTCTCTGTGCTGCAGTGCCGTAGGGCATCCAGTGACCACCGATCTTAGCACCGCCGCCAATCCCTCTCTTCCCACACCTCCAGAAGCAAGGAGTAGGGACCCTCTATCGCCTCCGCGTAAGAGCGCGGAGTCGGGATGTCAAGTGCATACGGGTCTCCCTCAGGGGTAAGCAGTACGGACACGAGATGAGGTGAAGCAGCTGCCAGACACTAGAACTCCTCCTGCTTGTCCTCAAGGACGTCCGTGCGAAGGGCACACTCACCTCCGACGGACGGAGGACAGACAGACGCAGACTCAGCGACAAGATTGGCAGCGTAGTCTAGGCGACAGCGGGCGGCAAAGTCGACGAGCACAGTAACAAGGGCAGACGCAGCAGTAGACTCGAAAGAAGGGTCAGTGACGACAGTAGCAAGGAGACGCGTGACAGTAGGGACAGCACCAGTACCCCCAGCAGGAGCACTTGCTCCAGCAGCACCTCCAGCAGCTCCAGAACCTCCAGCAGCACCAGGAGCACCTCCAGTAGGACCGCCAGTGGTAGTCTCAGCGCCAACACCCTAAGCAGCACCAGCTCCAGTCGAACCTGCAGGCCCAGCAGCTCCAGTACTCCCAGTACGAGCACCTCCGGGACCCGCGACAGCAGCACCCTCAGTAGTCGAAGAGCCTCCAGCACCAGCGGCACGGCTCCAGCACCGGGCAAACCACTCGCGCAGCTCCTGTGGAGAGAGTGGCTCCCGGCGAGACGAAGCACCCGGAGAACCTCCAGGCAGAGCACCTCCAGGCTCAGCACCCCCAGGCCCAGCACCCCTAGGCAAAGCACCCCCAGGCCCAGCACCCCCAGGCTCAGCACCCCCAAGCTTAGTACCCCCAGACTCAGCACCCCCACGCGTAGTACCCCCAGGCTCAGCACCCCCAGGCTCAGCACCCCGAGGCTCCGCACCCCCAGGCCCAGTGCCCCCAGGCTCAGCACCCCCAGGCTCAGCACCCCCAGTCTCAGCACCCCTAGGCTCAGCACCCGCAGCAGCACCAGAGTCACCAGTGACCTCGACATGCTCGACTGCGTCTACCTGGGACACACCTGAAAGGGCAGGACCCTGAGGGGGGAGGGGGTCTACCGGGGGGGGACCTGGTACAAGGAAGAGCGGGGGCGGGGGGAGGGACGGAGGGGGGTAGGGGAAGAGGCGGTAGTAGGGGACCGACTCGTCAAACGTGACGTCCTGGGAGGACAGAACACGACGAGAGGTGGGGTGGTAGAACTGCCACCCAGGCGCGTCAGGGGGGAACTCCAGGAAGACGCAAGGAGCAGCACGAGGGGACAACTTGTCCGCAGACAAGTCGCGGACAAACGCCCGAGATCCCCAGACCCGGAACGCCGACGCATCGCCAACCTTCCACGTCCACAGCAAGGCTGGGGAGGTCTCCGGCCTGGAGACCCTGGGGTGAAGGTTGATCTGATGCGCCGCGTACCTGACCGCAAACGGCGACAGAAAATGGGGGGCAGCCGCATGCATCATAGACGTACGAGCGACGTCCATGACCATGCCAATGCGGCGCTCAGCAATCCCATTTTGCTGCGGTGAGTCCGGAAGCGTGAAGTTCTGACGGATGCCTCGTGCACGACAGTAGGCTCGCAGAAGGCCAGAGGAGAACTCTCCGCCTCTGTTCGAGTGCAGACGCAGAACAGGGAAGTCCGAGCCAAAGCTTTGCCTGAGCTGGAGACGAGCTGCGCGGATCCAGTCGATCAGCACCTCAGTGACATCACCCTTGCTGCGCAAGGGGAAGACTGTGGTGTAACGCGAGTAGTCGTCAACAAGGAGCAGGAAGCAGCGCTCGTGACCCTGTCCACGGACGCGGGCTGGGCCCCACACGTCCATGTGAAGCGTCTGCAACGGGGCCTCTGTCAGAGGAAACTGGGAGGAGTGAGGGGCAGCACGCTGGCGCCCCTCGACACAGGGGACACAGGCAGGGCCAGGGCCCTGAGGAAGGGGAGGGAGGGACCGGGGGAGACCAGACACAAGAAGACGGGAGGCCATGCCTCTGAGCCGAAGGAGAGAGGGGTGACCAAGGCGGTGGTGCCAGAGGAGAGTCTCGTGAGACACGAGACGACACGAACAGGGGGTAGACTCAGGGCCAGACCTGGACGCTGCAGCAAACACCTGACCCGACGCAGCTACCCTACCAGACTCAGCAACGGGAGGAGACGCAGTGGTCAGTGTGTACAGGCTCGATCCTGGCTGACGAGTAAACGTAGCCAGGTGTCGGCCTGTGCTAGCCTCAGTGCAGTGCGTCACCCGCTGGCGCGCAGGAGTGAACTGGTGGACACCCGCATCCTGTAGGTCCGCACCACTCACCAGGTTTGTAGAGAACGAGGGGTGATAGAGACCAGACAGGGTGCCAGAGAGAGCCGCCGGACACGGGAGGACTGTGGAGAAGCGAGACAGGACACGGCCCACAGAGGGGTTAGCCAGAGACACCGCAACCGGCCGACTAAGCGGCGTGAGTGTGGTGCGGTCCCCAAAGAAGGAGCGAGAAGCCCCAGAGTCAAGGGTGAAGGTGAGGGAGGCCGAAGCCGGCATAGTACCTGAGAGCGCAGACTCACCAGTACATGAGGGCGCAGACGCACTGGCACCTAGAGCAGCAGCCTCACCAGTACCTAGAGCAGCAGTACCAATGCCCGGGTCGGGCGGGAAACACCGGTAACAGTCACCCTCATCACTAATAGTCACAGCATACATTGTAGCAAGGATAGCATCAAAGTCAAGATCATAGATAGCTACGCCTGCCCTAGAAAGCTCTCCCCAGCGGGGGATCTCACTGGCCTCCGTCAGGCGGCCAAAACAGCGCTAGGTGGG